ATCGTTTTTTACAAGCCGAGCCAACCTGTCGAACCACGTTCCCAACCTGCCAGCCAGCACATCAAAAAATATGGTCCTGGCCAACCTGGGAGCTAGATTAACAATTTATGCCAATTATGGGTCTCATTGCAATCTCCCCACTTTCTCAGACACCCGTATTACTCACGCTTCTGTTGCCAGGTTTCATATCTCGTAAGGCTCTCCCCCTACCGCATCTGACATGGCATTGCACATGAAAGGGCTGTGAAGATATATAACCCTTTCTCTTACATGTGTAGCAGATCACAAGGCCTTGAATAGAAGTGGATAATGTCCAGATGCACTGAATCTAGGGAAAATGTGAAGCTATGCAGGTAAGATATGTGGGATGGCAAAGGAGTTGGTATTAAAAGGGGCATTTTTAAGTTGACTGTAGTGGTTTACAAGCTCGATGTTTGTTGCTGCCAGGGTCTACTGTATAGTCTCCATATATGGTAGAAATCCTATAGTGATCATACAATGCAGCAAATGTCATGCACGAAAACTAAGAGTTTTAAAAGATGTGATACACACAATATATGTGCCCATGAACAAGCCAAAGCTAATGTTGCTGGTTCTAGTGTACTTGTCCAACTTTTTTGTTCCATCTGGTACCAGTTACCAGTATCCGTTCCAAAACCTCTATTGCCCTATATATGTTTCCATATGGCACAAACCATTGATACCAGAAGCGCTAGGTGTGCATGTGACTTGATTATGTGGAAGAGCCACTTGGCATGCCCTCTCGCTCCGCACGGGCCATTTCAGCAGTGAAGCTGGAGGAGCCAATGGAACTCCCAAGCTCCATTTCCATGCGAGATTTGGCCTCGCCCACATGGCTCTCATGTGCTCCGGAAGCTTCCTGCTTCAACTTCACCAGCTCCCCCAGCACTTGATTCATGGAGGGGCGGGAGGCTGCAGGCATGGCGGTGCAGGAGAGGGCAAGGCGAGCCCAGCGCAGCACCAAGTCATCTGGTGCGTCCAAGTGAGGGTCCTTGAATGCCAATACAGCACCGGAGTCCACCAACGGGGCCACCTGCGAGGTTAAATGCATACATCACATGGAATTTGGTGATACAAAATGTTCACAGAGTTTCACATTAAAACAAAACCTGTGAAGAATGGTAGAAATGTGGCAACGCAGAGATTGATGGAATGATGTATGATCATAGGAAATTAGTGCTACATAGAAAGCAGGATGATAGGAAGGTGAATCATATTACAGATACAAGGTGTGATTCAAAGGTAAGTGCTCGTCTTAATCATTGCAGCATGTATCCTGTTGGGAATGGAGGTAAGGAGAACATGAATTGGCCTACATATGTTTGGCTAAGGGCAACAAGGAAACATTGATATTATCAAGCAAACTCACTACGCAGTGCAGCTGGCTTTCTCATACGTTGTGTTACAAGATCTGCCATCCTTGGCATGATACACTTCTGTCTCTCACCCATTGTTTGAGTTTGATCTGGTTGTTCTCTGTTACATGCACAGCCTTGCGCGCCGTGATAACCACCAGCATCACCACGCCAAAACTGCAACCCGTCAATAAACAAAGGCATCATACTTGAAATCACGCTCAGATGTACAAAAGCTTTATGGTCACAATGAAATTTGTTTCCCAATCATTCCACAAGTGATTGTCACGCAAGCCCCATCACTAAGCATCACCAAGCTACTCGATTGGTAAGAACGCCTGGAAATGGCTTCAATGTCAGGCATGGACCTTCTTTGAGTGTGAGGCAAAGGAAACATAGAAATCATTGCAAGCCCGAAACCCAAACCCTATCTTCCCTAGCAGAAACGAAACTCATGAGCATTTCTCATCAAATTTGGAAGCCTCCTTGAACAGTATTCTCATGCCAAAGTGCTCATCTGCTAACCTTCACTGTTTTCTCATGCCATTATAACTTGCATGGATTTGCTGGCATAACCTACTCTGCTCACCTGTGCCAATCTGCTCACCTGTGCCAATCTGCTCACCTGTGCCAATCTGCTCACCTGTGCACATCTGCTGCTGGAGTGGCCTTATGAAATTTGAAATACGCAGGGTCCACATAGCCCGGTGTTCCCATCACTCGAGTGGCAGCCACAGACGTGCCCATAGCAGTGCCCCCACCAAGCTTCACAAGCCCAAAGTCTGCAATCTTGGCCTGCTCATGGACAACAAGAGCATTGATGTGAAAGATTCAGAGCATGCGAGTCGATGCAAAACACCACATGATAGTTGCAAAAGGGATGGATACGGGTAGGCATCTTTCACCATGTACAGCAAGGCCTACAACAATATTGACATGCCTGCATCTTTGCATCAAGGAGAATGTTTGCAGGTTTGATGTCGCGATGCACAATGCCGAAGTCATGAAGATACTGCAACCCCTTTGCCACTCCAATCAGAATGTCAAGCCTTTGACGAAGCGAAAGAGGATGGGAGACACCAGAACCAATCCAGCTCTCAAGGTCGTGGTTGGGCATGAACTAGTGAACGAGGATCTGCCCCATGAGTCGTGTGGAGAGGTCGAGGTCGATACAATAGCCCAACAGACGCACAAGATGCGGATGGTGCTTGCTTGCCATCTTCTTCACCTGAGAGGGAAAACAGTAAACATATCGAAGGAGATTGAATAATCAGACTACCAGCTATGCTTGGGGTTGGCAGAAGAAACTAATGAGAAACGTGCCACTAACATATCAACAAAAATTCACACCATGGTACCTCTCTTTGGAAGTCGTTTGTGAGCACTCGAGCTCGCTTGACTGCCCAGGCTTGATTGCAATCGTGGGGCGACACACCCTTGTAAACATCCCCAAAGCTACCACTTCCTATCCTGTTCCCCTCTGCCCAATCTCCTGTGGCCTTAGACATCTCTGCCAAAGAGTACTCTCGACACACGTATGGCCGTGCTGCCTCCATCTCCACCACAAAATCATCACCCTGCATCCCTTGTACTGCTGGTAATCGTAGCGCTGCTGCGGCAGCTGCTGCAGCTGCTGCGGCCTCTCCTTCCGCTGCTGCTGGGTCCTCATCCTCATTATTTGGTACTGCAAAGAGATGAAAAAGATGGTGAACGTGAAAGAAAAGACCGATAATTCAAGGGGCCTGGGAAGTTAAACCACCTACTCTGGATTGCTAATGACCTAGGAAGGACCAGCAAGCACCATTGCTTCATTCGTTGATTCCTGACAAGTCGAGGTTAAGGCTGGATGAATTTCTACAAGAAGGTAAATTCAGTCACATCCATGGTGAACAGTTTCGCCAACTTTTTGTACTGCCATCTCAACACCATACCTGTGTGGCTGTGTATACCATGGCAATGAACCCCAATCCAGATATCCAGCTTGAATTTTGATCGTTCAACTAGAACCAAACCTGCCCAGTTCGACCCAGACCCATTATTCCGAACTTGGGACTAGGCGATTCACATTCTGCAAAAAAAAAAAAAAAAAAAAAAAAAAAAAAAAAAAAAAAAAAAAAAAAAAACACACACACACACACAAAAAAATACAAAAAAAAAAAAAACTAGCCAGTCTGGTTGTCTCATTTCCTCATGACTATTTCGCATACAGCGGCAGGCAAAAGACAGTGCCATTACATGCAATTTTGTGGGGTTTTGCGCCGCACCACAAAAATAAGGTTCGGACCAGTGATTCTGAGTCTTCAACCCAAAACTCATGAGTCAGACCCAACCAAGAAGACGGCTTGACATCTGGGAGGACCTGGAATGTTCCATGGTGAGAAATTGCACATGCATTTAGGGTTGAGCACGGGCTGGGCCGGGCCTGGCCCGGGTCGGGCTAGGCCGGGCCAGGCAAAAATCCGGGCCGGGCCAGGCCCGGCCCGACTCGGGCCGAATGATCAAGACCCTGGCCCGAGCCCGCCCATTTTGTACTCGGGCCAGGGTGGCCCGACCCGGGCCAAGCAAGGCCCGACCCGGGCTGGGCCCGGGTCGGCCCGGGTGCACTTTCGATAGAGTCACACATGATTTTCGAAAACGGAATGCCTGAAATCATAACCTAATCTAAGCTAAAACGCACTATTTCGCCACCCTTTCATAGAACCGTTACTTTAAAACGGTTAACTATCACTAACTACTGAGAGATAGAGTATAAGTTAGAAAAACGGGCTAGTTGAGATCTAAATACATGGCGAGAAGCTAGGGGTAAGCTTGCGTTAGAGCTTGCGCAAACTGTCGCGCAGCTCAAATTTGACCCCCGCGACATTTGCTGGGGTGCAGTCAAATCCCCGCGTGATTGAGATTTGACGAAATTGACTCAAATCTCAAATTATGCCAACAAAACACAACAGAAACCGGATTTCACCGCACCAATTCATCAATTTCCAACCCAGGTCGACTAGATCTGGCCGCATTTGTTGGCCTGGGATCTAGTCGACAGCATATCATCTCTTAGGGTTTACTCGACCAGCACATTATTAGCTTATAAGTAGAGTTCACTAAGCGACTTGTCGCAAGGGGAATAGGCGGGCCAGAACAGCCCGACCTGGGCCGCGATTCGACCCGGGCTGGCCCGGCCCGGCCCAAAAATGTCGGGCCGATGTCGGGCTACCTACGGCCCGGCGGGCCGGGCCGGCCCGGTCCGCCACGGGCGGAACCCCAAAATCTGAGGCCCGGCCCGTAGCAATTCCGGGCCGGCCCGACGCGGGCCGGGCCCAGCCCGGAATTATGCTCATGCCTACATGCATTTGCTGCTTTTACTCTTGGATTTTTTTATGATCTTCTGATTTTGATGATACTCTGATTTTCTTTCGATTGCCTGGCGTTTGCCTTGTTATTGCTTCATCTAGGCTCAGCATCTACGTAAATATCTTACCTTGAAACAAAATGAAATTTATTGATTTCTTGCCATCCACATTGGTGCTAGTATTGTCTCCTCCTGCTGCCCCTTTGGTGCGGTATCGCTTCCACAGAAGCCAGGTCAGCAGCACCATCAGCACGAGGACAGCCACAGTGCCAGCAGCAGCAATGCCAGCAATGGCTCCGCTGGATAAACAGCCTCCAGTTTGGGAGAGAGAGGCTGTAGGCTCACTGGGAGATGACGTTGGAGGAGGTGGAGAGGGGTTTGGCACTGGCGATGGGGAGGGTGTTGGCACTGGCGACGGGGAGGGTGTTGGCACTGGCGATGGGGAGGGTGTTGGCACTGGCGACGGGGAGGGTGTTGGCACTGGCGACGGGGAGGGTGTTGGCACTGGCGACGGGGAGGGTGTTGGCACTGGCGACGGGGAGGGTGTTGGCACTGGCGACGGGGAGGGTGTTGGCACTGGCGACGGGGAGGGTGTTGGCACTGGCGACGGGGAGGGTGTTGGCACTGGCGATGGGGAGGGTGTTGGCACTGGCGACGGGGAGGGTTTCGGCACTGACGATGGAGAGGGTACAGTTATGGGGTAGAAAGACAGAGAGAGGGAAGGGAAAAGGCAATCAAACATGAGGATGGCGGTTAGCTTGGTGAAAGTGGATGTGGCATCAGGCACAGTTTGCATGGGGGGAGGAAGCAAAGGAAGGCAATGAAGGATAGAAACACGTACTCTTCAGTAAAAGCCTTGAGGATGCATACAACAGAAGCACATATTGAGGAGTAGCGAAGTTGTAATTGTTACCGCACCCGACAGTGGAAAAGCTAGCTAAGTAGGTGGCTATGCATTGTTCATCCTCTTAGCGCTAATGAGAGCAAAGCAAAAATGGGCTGTGAAAGCAGCAGCCACCTGCATAAGGTTAGCCTTACCTGGTGGTGGCTTGTCACATGTGGTGCAGAAGGAGCCGCACTGGCTGCAGAAAGCACTTGAATTGGTCTGTGGGACCACGCAGCTGCTGTAGTCAGGTGGGCATGTGATTGCAGTCGAGGATATGTTCCTGCATGCGAAACGGGTTCTCGAACGGAGCATGTGACCGCAGCTGCATATGAAGCGTTTTCAAACTATGGATCGGGAATGGGTTTCAGCTCTAACTAAAGCGCTTTGAGGTTGGTATTTGAGATTTATGGTAACACGTTGTAATACTTTACCATGCCAAGTAGACATGAGCACAAGGGCGAACACTTGATTGTTTCTGGCCCAGCATGTTCAGGGCGAACATGTTCGTGTTTGGCTTGTGTTTAGGGCGTTTAGGGAAGAAACCAGCTGGAAATATAAACTTGCTGAAACCGCCGCCCATATCATAAATAGTAGCCCATTCTACACATCCTGGGCTAGTGCACGGATGTTAAAAAGTTGAGCTTGAACATGCACATCCTGGGCTAGTGAACATGTTCGGGGCGACTTGAAGGTGACGTGTTTGCCTTGCATCGAACACACATGTTCAGCGTACCGAACATGTTTGTGTTCGCCCGAACACTTCCAGGGAGGAAGGTGGAGGAAGGTGTTCGGGTGTTCCCCTTTGGGAGGTGAACACCTTGATGTTTGCCCAAAAACGAACATGTTTGGGGCGAACATGTTCGTGTTGGCCATATCAGCAGTCTTCAAGACACATGATCCTGGATGGTGGGTTTTGGCATCCAGGTTGGTGTGGCTATACTTGGTGGACGTTTGGGAGTGAAGGAAATAAAACAAGTAGATTTTTGTTCCGCCACAACTATTTCATTAGAGTCTAGGTACCCTAGCTGCTGGAGCTTGCAGTCTAGGCTGTGGAAGGAGGGTTGGGAAAAAAGGCGAGCTAAAAAATGAGCTTGATTAGTGTGTTTCATCAACAGATTTGCGTTCGTCGGAAAGGGATGTCGAAACGAACACCAACATATTCGGCCTGAACACGTTGGCCACAAAAACAAAACATGTTCGAGGCGCACCGAGCAGGTGCTTGCCCTCGTGTTCATGTCTAGTTACATGTATCCTGTGTATGTCTAATTACATATATCCTGTGTACATAGAAATAATGTAGACATTAAGGTTTGGTCATATTAGTTATAGGGTGTTCCTCGAGTAAATTTTTTAACAGTTAGGTACCCCAATTAAGCTCGTTTCTCAACCTTGAGTACGCGGTTCCAGCCTGGGCCCACGAAGTCCAACATTGGAAACGCGCTTTGGCAGACTTTGAGTGTTACCCACATCCCTATCTTGACTGTGGGTGAGTTGAGCATCCATTTGGCACCCCAAGTCCATTGGGGAACAGTTTCCTCACTTGACCAGCCCAAGTCGCCTCCAAGCTAGCCCTCTTCGAATTCTGTCAATTAGTTCATGTTTTGCTTGTATCCGCTTGCCTCGCTTCGGTTACGCGACATATTTCTCAAGCATTTCTGAACCAGATTCACCTCGTGCACAATGTGCACGTTGAGTCTGTATTTTTACAAATGCTAATGTGCCTTACAGGTATGAAAGAAGTTTGAGGTTGCCTATTGTTGGAGGGAGTTGGCCCGTGAGGTTGTTCTGGCTAACGTCACTGCAATGGATGGAAATAACAGATAAAAGATAGAATAGAAACATTCAAAGCATTGCTAACAAGATACCTAACCGTGCATACATGCAAGAAATTTTACCTGTACAGGGATGGAAACACAAAGGAATAAACCAAAGATTGGTTGATGTTAGGAGACAGTCAGAGGAGACGGAAAAGCCGTGGATTGTGGCAGGGGACGCATATCCTATTAGGCTATTCCAGGTCAACATGGTTAAGTTGCAACATAGATTTTTGTTCACCCAACGTGACAGAGTCCAGTCAAGCATGAGATGCATAACCAGCTTCATGTGAGATATTTCCCAACCAGGCAAAACACATTTCAAAATCAACATAGGATGTTTGTTGGGTGGAAGAAGGTTAAACCAAAGAAGTCACAATTCGGCACTAGGTTTTATAAATACCTCCAACCTATAGCCAGTGCAAGATTTCTCAATGAGCTCAAGTGACCCGACATTGTGTTACACACTGCATGCATTATGAGTTCCTTACGGTGTCCTGAGGCATGGCTGAAAACCATGCTCACGTAAACCTGGGAAAGAGTGATGTTGAAGTATCAAAGCAAGAGTGCATAAAGGCACGAACCACTTGTTAGGCTGCTTATGCTTGCATTGCAACCCCTCTCGCTAGTCATAGCCAATGGCAGGCCCCAGTTCACCCTTAACCTCTGAGAAACTCTGACCCACGTTGTACCTATCCCAGAAAGGGAGACTCCAGAAAATGCATCTGCATTGAAGAGTAAACAGCTTCGACTTATTCAAACTGTAACCCACATGTGTCCAACGCGACTCATGAGTCGGATGTTCTGGGTCTCGGTCGGACGGGAACAGGATTTTACTGAAGACCAGAACCCAGCAGGACTTATTGTAGTTGTCATAATCTTCCCAACGCGGGGTTTGACTAGCTTGATCCTAGGCTTGTTCAAAACGTGGATTCACCCTTCATGCTTATGAGTCGAGTCGATTCAAGTCACTTTGAGTGGAAGTCGAGTTGGGAGTTGTGTCAAGTTGAGCAAAGACCAAACGTTTTCTTAACTGCCAGCTCTGGGCCTCTTATTTATGAGCATGTGAGCGGTCATGTTGGCTCTCTTTATGATCTCTTGATGTTACTCACAAGTCTTGGAGGTTTGTCATGTTGCCGATGGTGGATGGAATGGACCCAGTCAGCGCATTGTGGTTAAGATACCTTATGGTAAAACATGCGAAGGGTTTTATGGGTGGTAAGATTACATAAAAAGGCCTTCAAATGTGTTAAAAAAGATACGACGAAACACTAGTTACCAAGCACATGGGAAGGTGCCATGAAATTCAAACAAGAATAACAAATAATGGTAGGAGAGGGAGGATTGATCTCAAACAGCAAGAAGGACTAAAGAACTCATGACATGCTGAAATATGATTGTGATACAAGCTACCTACTCTAAACGGTGCCTGATAAACAGGTGCTAAACGTTACCATCGACTATATAGCACAGTGTGCAAGAAGTAGCCCTTTCAAAAAGTAAAAGCGAATGAAAACAATGGGCAACTATTTGAGCCTCACACAAACATGCAAATATGTAGACATTGAGAAGCAATACAAAGGGATACACATTACAAAACGTTAGTGGTGGTGGAAATGCATATCAGGACACGAGAATGAGTTGAAAATTGTGAGCGTGTACAGTGGTCATGCCTAGCATGTATGCTCGTTCTCAAATCAAGTTGACTTGGTGTTGCCATTGCAGGCCCTCTAATTTCTGAACCTGTGGGAGGTTATGTTGGCTCTCTCTCTTATTCCCTTCATGATACTCACAACCAAAAGAGGTTTCTCATGTTGCCGATGGCAGATGGAATAGACCCGCTCAGAGAATTGTGGTCAAGAATCCTGATGATACAACATACAAAAGGGTTTATGGGTGGAAAGAAACATTGAAATAAGCAAGAAAATATTCCTAGCGAAAAACAACACACTATATAAACAGTGCTGGAAGAAACAGCCCTTTTAACAAGTGAAAACAACGGGCAATGATTTGAGCCTCACACAAACGTGCAAATATGTGGACATTCAGAAGCAACACGAAGGGATAAACATTACAAAATGTTAGTGGTGGTGGAAATGCATAGCAGGACACGAGAATGAGTTGAAACTTGTGAGCGTGCACACTAGGCATGGGCATTTGACCCGGACGGGTCGGGTAACCCGACCCGACCCGGCCAAAAGGCCGGGTCGGGTCAGGTGTTCTGAGTATCCCGACCCGGATGGGTCGGGTCGGGCCTACCCGTACGGGTCGGGTCGACCCGTGACCCGTCACGGTATCTTTTTCACGGGTACCCTTGACCCGTCGGGTCGGGTCGACCCGTGACTCGAAATCGGGTTAAGATATAGAAAGTGTAGGATAGACTGCAATTGCGTTGCGCGAATGGCTCTGCATCGGGCTGTCAAACAAGAGGCATGATAGGTATAGTGTAGGAGGAGGCGTAGGAGAGATCGTGGATAGGGAAACCTAGGTCAAACTTGAAATTCGTACCCTACAGTCGCCAAATTCCTGCACAATGTTTTCTCCAACGAATTTCCCCTCCCATCACCTATCTTCACCGCATTGCATCTAGATCATCCAACCAATTTGAGATTTGAACGCTTGACAGTCGTCACTTTCAGATCTATAACGAAGATGATCGAGGGAGTCTCCCCCCTCCCCTTCTGCGGGAAATACCTTTGCTCCGCGCTTTCGAGATTATCTTGTGGGAGGGGGAGGGGGGGATTTTTGACACGTGCGGATCTGTGAGGAATTTCGCGGATCCGGATCCGCGCAGATCTGTGGCAAAATCGCCGATTTGCGAAGATCTACGGCGAAATCGCCGATTTGCGCAAATCTGCGGCGAAATCGCCGATTTGTGCTAATCTGCGGCGAAATCGCCGATTTGCGCAAATCTGCGGGGAAAATCGCCGATCCGCGCGGTTCGTCGGGGGAAGTCGCCGATCAGCGGGGGTGGCGAATTTTTCTTGGGCCTAATTATCCGACC